TTTAATTTAGATTTAATAACAAAGTAATTTATTTTTGGTTTAATAATATAAATTTTATAGAGATAATAATTAAGAATTTTGTTAGAACTCAATGATTATCCTAATTATATTTTAGATTTTTTATATTTAAAATGAGATGTTTATCCTGCATTTGATTATGTTTATCTGCAGTTAGTTACACGAATTCAGGTATGGAGCTTTAATAAGTTATATTTGCGCACAATTTACTTGCAATCTTGAGTTTTAAGTAATATGCATTAATAAACAGTATTTTACGCATAAAAAGTGATTTTTAAGAGTTTTTGTCAAATGCTTTATAATATAATATAGATAAATATATAATTTTATTGATCATGTTTTCATACTTAAATATCTCCCTTTTATCAATAAAAAATAAAGTAAAACTTAAAACTTCTAACATCTCTTAAAAAACAAATAACATTAAGGGGCCTTTTACCAAACCCTTACCTGGTAAGCGTGTTTATCGGTAAGAGTCTACACTTTCACTTAACTTATCGGGTAAGATTTTAGTCCATTAAAATGACATTATATAGAACCTTTTTATACAGTAAACGCTTACCTGGTAAGACTTTTGGTTTTTGTTATCTCTCTTACCGGATAAGATTCTCAATCTTTATCATGTTCATTTAATAAGATAAAATAATAAGTATTTAATAAACGACCCCTAAATTTTCTTTGATAACGACCCTATAGTCAATTTTTCTATATGAGTTGGTGTAGCTTACATATCCAAACAATAGTCAAAGTAGGAGTGCTCTCTCTCTCTCTCTCTCTCTCTCTCTCTCTCACACACACACACAATTCAATATTAATTTACCACTTGAATAAGTTTTGAACTACAACTTAAACAACTCCAAGAACATTACCACCACCTAATTAAGTAGGATTAAAAAAAAATCAAGTTTAAAACTTTCTTCTGAATAACAGATTTAATCAGTCAAAATATGTACGATATATTCCAATAAAGATGGACATCTTTAACTGATTAAGAGTTCGATTAACCAGTTATGATAAGGTCTAGTATTTTCTCCTCAAGATAGATTGGAACTAGTTAGAACTTTTGGAGGATGGAATCATAATTGGTCCTATGACCGATCGTTTAACTGAACGACTCATGTATGTATGTCATTGGAAGAGTATGGGTAGACCCGAATCAAAGATAACATATTTTATGTATTTGATGTGTACCCAACAATTTTTTTTGTAACGGTATTATGTATTTGAGTTGAAAAAAAAACTTTGGTTTACCACCGTAGGAAGAAAGTTTGTAACGATCATTCTGATCACTTAATTATTGTGCATCAAACCATTCAGCAACTGTCAAACAGCCTCTAAGTACCATTGTTACTTTTAAAATTAAGGTAAATATTAAATAGTGTTTAAAAGGAAAGATATTTCATTCCATTGTTATTTTGGAAAAAGGGTTTTATAAAATACAGGTTAAATGCAAAAATATTTACTAAATGATTTATATTTTAGAAAAAATGTTTATTAAAAAACACGTCTTTTAAAAATATATCTTTAAAATTATATCTATATCTATACTATATTATAATGCATTTGGCTAAAACTCTTAAAAACTCTTAAACTCTTAATCTCTTAAACTCTTAAACCCGCTCATCCCTAAACGATTTCATCTCTATCCGATTTCATCCCATAACTAACTGCAGATAAACACAATCCAATACAGGATAAACATCTCATTTTAAATATAAAAAATCTAAAATATAATTAGGATAATCATTGAGTTCTAACAAAATACTTAATTATTATCTTTA